CCCGTTCACAGCCACTCTCATGCTTAGATCCCCAGTGCTGGCCACAGCATTTGAAGGACGGGTCACAAAAGACGTCCATGGTGCAGGTCACACATAAATGCCAGATTGAGATAGAGTGAGTCTGGGTCAATCAATTGGTTTGACACCTAAAACCCAACACGAGAGCGTCTGCTCTGAGAGAGTCAGGGCTGTGCTGGGAGTTTGTTCATTTCAGGTGTCTGCTGAGCCGCACTTGAGCCCACGTCTTGCCTAACCTTGCTTAGGAACAAAACTCTCCGGCCCGAGCTGTCAGCGAGCCAGGAGAAGCTTTCTGTTCACTTTTGCTGCCCAGTACTGACTCAGTCACAGGAATCTCCCTCTGCCCACAGGTAACATATCTCACGCACGCCTGCATGGACCTCAAGTTGGGAGACAAGAGGATGGTGTTCGACCCCTGGCTAGTGGGTCCCGCCTTTGCCCGAGGGTGGTGGCTGCTGCATGAGCCTCCCTCCGACTGGCTGGAGAGGCTGTGCCGGGCAGACCTGATTTACATCAGCCACATGCACTCGGACCACCTGAGGTAAGGAGCCTGGCACCACCTCGGGGCCAGTACCGCTGCCATGCGAGCAGGACGGTCCTCAGTTCTCCTGCAGTGACCGCTCGCTCCGAAGCACTTCAGCTGGGATGAAGAGAAGAGCACTAACAGACGGATGTGTGCGTGCACTTTGCGATTTCAGTGTAACAAGGGCTCCCACGCTTTGCACCAGTGGGAATGAGGAAGCTCTGTCAGGGGGACAGGGTTCACTGTCCCCTCACGTGCCACCCTTAGACTAGCTGGTGCAAGTTTAGGCTGAAGGTCAGCAGGATTGGGCGTTGGGGTTTTATTTCCTCAGCTCAGCATTTATAACAGGAATCAGCCTCTGTTTTATTTTATTTTTTTAATATAAAGAGCCAGTGTAAATATTCTAGGCTCCGAAAGCCATGTAATCAGCATTGTGACCGAGTCACCGTTACCACCATCACACAAAAGCAGCCACAGACAGTCCTGAAAGGAAATGACTCTCCCCCATAAAGCTTCAGGGGGGATGATATTTTCGTATCACATAATTTTTATGAATCATATATGATTATTGTCTGTTTGACTTTCTTTACGATCATCTAAAAGGGGAACACAACTGACTTCAGCTTGCAACGTCACACAAAAGCAGAGAGCAGGCCCCGCGTGGCTCCCGCCGCTGGCTTGCCAGGCCTGGTCTACAGCCGCTGGAGCTCCTGCAGGGCTCAGGAGCCCGAGTCAAACCCAGGCCACACTTTGCTGAAACCAGAGGAACTGGACACTGTGATCC